GCATTCTAACACCCTACGTAACGCCAAGATGTCACGCTGCATCAGCTACACACCTTATCCGAGGTAGCAGGTGTCACAGGCACTTCAGTCTTCATGTACACTAACCTATTCGATGGTCCGTATTTCTGTAAAAGGATTCAAATATCAGCCCCAGACGTGGGAAGAGGATCTCTGTTTTTGGAACCATACCAGGTCTCCCCATCATGCATGAGAGAGGGTACCGGCGCGCTATTGGTACTCCTGCATTGGGAGCCTGTTTTAAGGGAGTTTAGATTGTCTTCATGACGTTCCAGGGACTAGTCGAGAGTGTAACTGAACCCAGGGCAAGCTTCATCTGAATAGAGACATGACTGAACACACAGCTGTACAACAGGGAGCCATCTTCTCAGACTCGTTTACTGGCACGTTGCATTCAGCTGGATGTCAGGGTCCAAACAGTGACTGCTGTGCTTTCATATGCTGGTTGTTTAGTGGGGATGCCGGATGTTACAGTGGTTTAGGTGATAAAAAGGGGCATTTTACTTGTGAAGTTATGTGTTCTTTCATTTTCATGACCCACATATGAAACAAAAGGTCCACCAGTAGTTTCTGATTGCTTTGTGTTCCAGTGTTCTGAGTAACGAGCACGGTCCAGAGGCCTACGAGCTGCACGTCTCAGTAAAGGACTACTGTTTTGCCCGTGAGGACCGAATCATCGGTATGACAGTCATCCAGCTGCGAGAGCTGGCCGAGAAAGGCAGCTGCTCCGCCTGCTACCCGCTGGTGAAGAGCATCTCCATGGACGAAACAGGCCTCACCATCATGAGGATACTGTCTCAAAGGACTCACGATGAGGTGGCCAAAGAGTTTGTGCGTCTGAAGACCGACACACGCTCTGCAGAGGAAGTGTCGTAATGTGGAGCCAACATGTGGTGTTAAGAGTTGTGTTTGCTGTGAGAGCGAGCGGCGGAGGGCAGCCGGGGGTCGGGACCGACGTTGGTCTGAGTGAGTTTGTCCAAAGAGTAGCAAAAAAGGCCCAAATGTGGCGAGGCAGCAAGAGTGAGAGTTGTGTTTGTTTGTTTTTTGTGCATGTGCGTAAAACATCTGTTGGAATGTTCACTTTAAACTAAAGTATGTACAAGTGTTTACTTACCGTATGCTCACTATTAAGTACTATATTCTACAAGTTATTGTAATGAGACATGAAACCTTTTGTACAACATTTAGTCTTTTTGAGCAGAAATTTGTTCCAATAAAGTGCCAAACCAGTGAAAAACAAACAAACAAACAAACAAAAAAACAGAATTGACGTAAATGAATAATGGTGAAGTTGGTATGTTTGAAGTTTGCTCGATTCTTTTGTCCGGTGTAAATCATTCTGGCCGTGTAGCGTTTCGATTGTTGCAGAGCTGTTTCTTTAGTTGTTCTGGCTTCGTGTTCCTCCACACAGTCATGTCGCTCCCGTCCGTTCACAGTGGCCGCTGAGCACGGCTCCGCCCCCTTGCCTTTAAACCGTTTGTATTTGAAGTCGACCTGAAAGCAGACCGTGTTTTTTATGGCGATGACTGCTATGTGACCCTAGTAGATGTTTGTAATTTTATAATCATGGAAACGACGGCAGCCTCCAGCGCTACAGCAGAGAGAGTCTTTTGTTCGGTGTTTGGTTCATTTTTACTTCCAGCCTTCCTGAACAACCACTGTGAACATGAGCTTTGGAAGGCAAGCTTACACGACATCATTGACAGTTTGAGTTGAGTGTTTTATACTTTTTCCAATAACTTTGTTTTCGATAAACTGCCAAAGTTATATAAAGTATTTGTACAAAGAAATCCATTACGAAGATAAAAGCGTGTGTGTACATCTGATCTTACTTTTTCATTGCTTGATATTTGTTAATAAGGTGGTTTGAAGATCTTTTTCATTTCCTGTAAATCTGTTAAAGACATGAGCGTTGCACATGTTCATTTACACGTCCGTTACATCAGCTTTTATCATTGAAATTATTTTTCTTCATAAAGGAAAGAGTCTAACATTTGGTAAATATGCAACATTCCTATGTATTGCACTGATGGCAAATCATATGTCATGTAAATATATTTAGTGAGATATTGTAAAAGAGTCTACTTTTCTTCTATGTGCATAAAGTATGTGCAGATGTATGAAACCTTTTGGGTTCTCTTGAACATGTTTTCATTAAGGTGGGGTTTTTATTTCCACTTTTCAGTAAGTAAAGCATCAAAACCATACCATACCACTTTATTTATATAGCGCTTTCAACACGGCATTACAACCATACAAAGCGCTGCACAAAAAACAAGCAAGAAAACACAAGTTAAAATAGTCAGGTAGATGGAAAATGTAAAAAGGAGCAAAAGAAATAAAAACAACAGACTATTAACAGTAAAAGCAAATGAAAGCAAAATATAAAAACACAAAATTAAAATTGAATTGTCTAGGAGGGACATTGGATGAGCTAAGGAGTTATGGAATTAGGGATCGAATGCGTAAGTGAAGTAGAGGGTCTTCAGACGAGATTTAAAGACGGCCATAGAAACAGTTTGATGCTCATGGTGGTCGAACCTTCCACCAGTATTCAAAAATAGCTAAAGCTTTAAAAAATTTAAAACGAATTTCAAAATTACTTTGGTCTTTTCTGCAACGTTGATGTTTTACCTCCACCAATAACACAAGCCTGGAGGAGTTCTGCTGTGTGGTGGAGTAGCTAACGCTAGCAGTTAGCTTCTACTAGTCTAGACGTTCTCTGCTGTTTCCTGGACTAAACCAACAACAGCCTTCCCCGTCGTGAGTCCAGATGGGTGAGTCCATGAATGTTAGTGACAGTGTGACGTAGATCTGTCAGGATTTTCTGATCCTAGAGTTTCACCGTCTGTTTTCTATCAGAAGCTACTGCAGGAGATAGGTGTAGGAGACTGTTTTCATGTTCTGCCTGCATGAAAAGTGAACCCCTACTTTACACTGAATGTATCGGTGGCGCGGGAAGGTTTACTAGCAAGCTTCACTGCGGGCCAGTACGCACCCGGAGAATCTCAGCCACACAGCGGCCTCCCGGCTTTGTGCCTCGCTTGACTCGAGAGATCACAAAATCCCTCAAGACTTCAAAGATCAAATTTTGTTTATGCCATCCACCATTCTACCAAAAATAAGGCAATCATGTTTGATATCAATCTTTGTTTTCATATGAGATGTTTGTTACGGCCAAGTGTTGGCGTTTAAATGAAGGACAAGGGCGTAACACAAAAGTGCATGTGCAGGATGGTACAGTCCAAACGCCGTTTTAACATGAAGATTTTTAAACCAAAGCTCCATTTCTACAAGGTCAACAACAGTGTTAAAAAGGCTAGAGGCTACATGTTAATTATGGGGATTTTCAATTAAAACAGACACCTAAAATGCTCCCAAACATAACACGCAAGGTCCACTAACTGGTCACAGCGGCATGGAGCAAGACTTCCATACAGCTTAGAGGAGATTCTGGTCCACCATCCAGCATCTCAGGAGGGGAAAGCAGTGCCCTACCAACACTGTTTATAGTGGGGGTGGTCCTGCCAACCTCTACTTGGGTCGTTGTGGATTGGTAGGCAGAATACTTCGAAGACCTCCTCAATCCCACCGGCACATCTTGTGAGGACGCAGAGTCTGGGGACTTTGGTTTGGGCTCTCCAATCTCTGGCGCCAAGGTCACTGAGGTGGTTAAAAAGCTCCTTGGTGGCAAGGCTCCGGGGGTGGACGAGATCCGTCCCGAGTTTATTAATGCTCTGGATGTTGTATGGCTATGTTGGCTGACGCGGCTCTGCAATATCACATGAACATCAGGGGCAGTTCCACTGGATGGGCAGACTGGGGTGGTGGCCCCCTATTTAAAAAGGGGGACTGCAGGATGTTTTCTAACTACAGGGAGGTCACAGTCCTGAGCCTTCCTGGTAAAGTCTATTATTGGGTTCTGGAGAGGTGCGTCTGGCAAGTTGTTGAACCTCAAATTCAGGAGGAGAAATGTGGTTTTCTTCCTGGCTGTGGAACACTGGACCAGCTCTATACCCTTAGAGGGGTCCTGGAGGGTGTGTGGGTGCTTGCCCAACCAGTCTACTTGTGTTTTGTGGATTAGGAGAAGTCGTTCAACCGCATCTTTCAGGGGCCCTCGGAGTAGACCCGCCGCTCCTCCACATCGAGAGGAGCCAGTTGAGGTGGCTCAGTCATCTGGTCAGGATGCCTCCTGGACGCCTCCCTGGTGAGGTTTTCCGGGCACGTCCAACCGGGAGGAGACCGAAAGGCAAACCCAGGACATGCTGGAGAGACTAGGTCTCATGGCTGACCAGGGAACGCCTTGGGATTCCCCTGGAGGAGCTGGTCCAAGTGGCTGGGGAGAGGGATGTCTGGGCCTCTCGACTTAGGCCCTGTCCACACGTAGCCGGGGATCTGCCAAAACGTAGATATTTGTCTACGTGTTGGCCTGTCATCCACATGAAAACGGAGTTTTTTCACAGGAAAACGGATCTTTTTAAAAACTCCGGCCAAAGTGAAGATCTGCGTTTTCTCCGTTTTGGGTGTCTGCGTGTGGACGGACAAAACCGGAGTTTTAAGGTCTGCAACGTCACTTTCCGCGACAAAAAATGCAGACATCACGTGTGCGACCTGTGTTTACACTAGCCGGCATCATGGATGCCCTCAGAGCTGCGCTCGCTTTATCAATCGTCCAAGCGCTGTTTGCTTGTTTGTTTTTGCAAGCGGAATTACTGCTGCTTGTGGAAGACCACAGACGAAGGACGAGGTTAAGAACGGGGGAAGTACTGCCGCCTACAGGTCTGGCATGTCCTTAACGTATTTATCCGGGTACGTGTGGACAGAGTTTTTTTAAAACAAGGTGGTGTGGATGCAAGTTTTTGGAGGGGCGGATATTTGTTTAAAAAAAAAACGGCTACGTGTGGACTAGGCCTCAGTCTGCTGCCCCTGTGACCCGACACTGGATAAGCGGCCAAAGATGGATGGATGGATGGATGGATGGATGGATGGATGGATGGATGGATGGATGGATGGATGGATGGATGGATGGATGGATGGATGGATGGATGGATGGATGGAAGGATGGATGGATGGTCCACTGACCATACTCACTAAGTTTGGAAAACAAGAAGGAGCCAGCGCTTTGGTCCCTCACCTATTTTCAAATCTAAAAGCACTCTTGCTTTCACCCGTTACAAACAGCCTGACTAAAACCACCAAAAACCTTTAAAACACCAGTGGAGCCAACAAGAAGCCATGGCATGGATTCAGTCTCTCAGTCTCTATTTTCTGTCTCAGTCTGGCAGCTCGTCTTTAATGCTGGACCGACGCTGATGAGCTGATTGGGCCCAGGTGTGCAAACACAAGGAGGAGGAGGGGCAGTCCTCTGCAGGTAGAGCCTTGAGGAAGGGAGATCACAGCGTTTTTTCCCATCCCAGAGCAAAAAGGCGCTGGCCGTAATAATCTCCACTGCCAGGATTAAAGCCATAAAACCACTTCTGGAACTGGGAGTAAATAAACTGTGAGGTCACACATACTGACGTAATCTACATAGATATGAAATTTCATTGTTGCAACAGTCTTTTATTTAGAAAATTACCAGAAGTTTTACACTGAAACGTGCTCGGTTTCCTGTCTAGCTCTATGTTCACTGCAGAGATTGACGTAAAAAGATTAAAATAAAACAATCTTTTATAAAGCGCCCTTCAAGATAAAAATCATGAGGTTCTGTCCCAGAAGTGGCTCGCCGCAAAAATAGAACAGAATCCCATCTTTAGCGGTGCGGCAGGCCGTTTAAAATGAGAGGAAACGGGATTTATGATGTAACGGGCCTTTTACAGCTTCTGTGGAGCTTTTATTAGAAAAGTTAAAAGGAAGACATTCGAGTGGTTCTTCGAGGAACCAAATGTTTTCAGTTTGCACTGAAAATCAAAATGAATCATTACATCACAAACGAAGCACGTCCATGTGGATCGTTTAGCTGAGGAGGAGCTGGAGCCTCCTATAATCACTTTTCTAGAGTAGCACAACGTTTGACAAGAATTATGTTTAGCTATGCATTATCTGCTTATTACAGACACCATGGTTACCTCTCAGCAGAAATATGAATTAAACAATAACAAACATAACGTTTGCTGGATCACAAACCAGCAAACTGAATGGAACCATTTATGAATAAATTACCAATAGACTAAAAAGGTATTCAATAAAATGTAATAATCCATTAAAATATGGCTTATCAATACTATTGATCTTTTAATATTTGATTGATGATGAAACTAGGTACTTTGGGTATGCCAGGGAAACAACAATGTAGTGTACCACATGACCAAGTATTTCATCATAATGAGCAGAAGTTAACTTTTAACTTGTGGGCCAAACCTCTTCCTACAGGTCAGTCTGACTTGGTGGTGCCGATATGACGTCTATGAACTTTCACCGATATTCTTAACGTATCCTGTGGTGAGTCAGAACATCAGCAATGCTGCAACAGATGCAGGACTTCTTATCTATTCTATATTATATACATTCCCCTGGCTCATAAAGGACTTTACAGTTTATAAGTGTTATTTATCATATCTTGTTGAATGAACCATATGTTTAAATCCAAAGGGTTTTAATAAAATGTCCTATACTTTACATTATGGGTTAACATGGATATTTTTCCTGTAATGATTTGTTTCAGATCTTAAATTACACCAGATTATATTTGTTGATTTTAATAATGTTGATCTATCAGTATGAACACAGTAATGTTACTATAGTATCACTAAAACACTTTTACTTCACCCTAAGTATATCTACTCCGGTCGAAAGAATCCACGCTTCGTACTGATGTCCACAATTCTTTTATTTCTCTCTCACAATCATGGAGCACCGTGAAAACTAGAAACAAGTAAAATAATATCAATAGCACATATGATATTCATCTCAGCCACTTATTTCCTTTCACAAAGTGCACAAGTGTTAAACAAAGAACAGTATTACGTTTTTTACCGTGTACACCTTGTAAGCCCAGCAGTAGAAAAGATGTGTATTCCAAAAAGTCCGCCGTGTTACCGCTCCGTGTCATCTCTCCCGCGACTCACAGGAAGCGACTACCTCACAACAATCTCAGAAACATTTCTTATAAGAAAGATGTATCAC